TTGTCTCCAGTGAGCATCCTGCTCTAGCTCTGATGGGAGATGTGTTTCAGGAACCCCAGAGATGGAAGACAAAGACAGTATAGTTTAATGAGTCACGAAAAAAGAACTCTTGCATGGACGGAACCATAGGCATTGTCTTCTTCAGCTTAATGAAAAAAGAACTATAGATAGTGAACCAGTGGGTACATTGGATGTTTTCAACCTAGGTAACAGGTGGCACAAGTACTCAAATGACAGTATAGGTTTTAAGAATGAACAGTGCTTAGAATCACACCTGCAATTCATATTACTTGTGTTGACTGACTGCCAAATAGCTGCAGAAACAAATTTAAATTTTCTTTGGAAGAGTGAACTTTCCACAGAAGCCTCAGAGAGTGGAGAAGACAAAAGCACAAGCAATGTGACTCCATTCAACAGCCACATTTGAAAAATGGCACCCTGGAAAATCACATAGCAGCAAATACAGTAATTTGATTTGATTTCTCTATTTCGTAATCTTTGTATTTAATTTATACGTTCACAGAGTGACATATGAAAAGATGAAAAGAGAAGGAGATGATCAGAATCAACTAAGCAGATTGTTTTTAAAGAACAAAAGAAACTTTAAAAAATAAAATAGAAATTGAGGTGAGTCCATCTTGAATGGATTAAACAGCAAATTCGTCATGACTTAATAAGAGAGGTAGAATAGAGAACTGGCAGAGCTGCTACAGAATGCAACATATTAAAACAGAGTTGTGAAGTCTCAGAGGTTACCTGCAAAAGTAATAACAATATATATGCATTGATAACTCATTGTCCCCAAAATGGGAAGCATGGAAGGAATGATTAACAGATAGCCTTTGGAAAAAAACAGCTAGGAATTTTGCAGAACTAGGTATTGACAGTATACAAATTCTGCAGAATTATTTCTAAGGAAAATCTGCATAGTGACTAGAAGCAGGTTATCTAGACCAATGACTTACTGCCTGAAGAATTATCCAATGGGAAACAGTGGGCTGCCATCTGTAAGGTGGTGGTAGTCAAGAAGTCTTGAATGGATGTAATTGCCTTCATGAACAAGTTATGTCATTCTTCTGAAGCATAAAACTAACTGTGAGCTAGACCTCAAAGATGCTGGAAGAGAGTACACACTACAAATGAAAGTAGAACAAATATGTGCCTGTAACTGTAAACAAGCATTGTTCAGAATAATGACAGTAATTGTAATTTATAGAATTAAAAAAACTCAAGAGTTACTCTGACCATGTGTAGCTTAGACATGGGTATACCCAGGGTAAGACACTCTTAAAGTGTGTGTTATTTTTATAAAGAAGAATATGGTATGGATGACTTTACACATCTGTTGTTCAGTTTCTATGACCAAGTTCAAAGGATTAGCACATGGTAATAGAACATTCTGATGGGAAGTAACATCACTAGACATGAAAACATCAATAAGCAGTTACCCTACATGGGCTTCTGCTCTACTAAAAGATATATTTGTTTTGTTTTGCTTAAGAAAGAGTATTACTATGTATCTCTGGCTGTTGTGGAACTTACTATGTAGACCAATCTGCCCTTGAATTCACAGAGCTCCCCTCCCAGTGTATTTCTAATGCTGGGATTATAGGCATGCACTACACATTTTGTTCAAATAGCACTCAGAATTAGTAATAATCAATATGATGGAATATTTGAGCAGTGATCTCACAAGAGAATTAGAAATTTGAATAAAAATAACTAATAACTTACAGTAATATTCACCAAAAGCCCAATGATCACTCAGACTTAACAATATGTAGAATCAAGACAAAATTATTAGTTGTGTTTTGGACTCACAGATATAATTTAATATTTGTTTTTTTAATATTTGCTAGTTTTTCTAATAATTAAGTGATATGACCAGAGCATGTGAAGTGGCTCAGTAAGTAAAGGATCTTGATGCCCATTACTGTAGACCCGAGTTCAATCCCAAGAACCTGTAAAAAGTTAGATGAAAAAAAATGAATATTACCACAATTGTTCCTAACAATGACACACACACTCCCAACACACACACACACACACACACACACACACAGAGAGAGAGAGAGAGAGAGAGAGAGAGAGAGAGAGGGAGAGAGAACAAAAAAATAAAAATATTAGCAGAAAAGCATAATTATGAGTCCATAATAACTGGGTGTGACAACCTAAAATGTCCTTCAGTGAGAACAACACTTCTCAAACTTGGATACCTTTTTACAACAAGGATGACAGGAAACGCAGTGTGAGACATTTGAACTCAGGCTTCAGGAAAGCTGGTCATAAAACAACTAGGACTAACGACTAAGTAGTCCCAAAGATGGCCCAAATGGCATGTCGGTGAATGTGTGCATGTATGCATGTACACATGTGTATGTGTGAATGTGTGCATGTATGCATGTATGCATGTGCATGTGTTCAGTAGATGTCCCAAGGGAAAGGACCAAAAAACGAGGCAATTTTTGTGCAAGTGAGCAAAGATAAGAGACTGAAAATTCCGTACACAGGGCTATTAGTATACAGAGTTTGTATACATAGTTTCTCCATTTTTCATATTGATATTCAAATCTGTCTATAATTTCCCTCTCTCTCTCTTTGTTCTTTCATTTTCTCTCATGCATACATTGTAACAATAATGTCATCTTGGTGTGTGTGTGTCTTTGTGTATCTTTCTGTGTGTGTGTATGTGTATAGACTCAGTAAATATTGAGTATGTTCCTCAATATCTTCCCACCTTATTTTTTGAGACCCTTTCTCATTGGATGCAGAATGTATGGGTCCATCTAGGATGGCTGGCCAGCAGTGTCCCAAGATTTGCCTACAGACACAGGCTACTGTCACTGACTTTTTAGCATAGGTTCTAGGGATCTGAGCTCAGGTTCTCATTCCTGCATAGCTAACACATTGCTAACTGGGCTGTATCCACAACGCTGTTCCAATATTAATGGTATGTTTTCATGTAGCATAGTTACATTTTTTGAAGGTTATCTATTTTCATCCACAGTACTCTTTGGTCCAGTAATTCCACTTCTTATAACTTATCTTCAGTTGGTAAAAGATATATATGCTCAAAACTGTTCTGCGTATCCTTTATTTATATTAGTAAAAAATCTAGGTAACATTCTAGGAATAAAAGACATATTAAAAGAATTTGTGCATGTCTGTATGTATTTATACAACCACATGAGTACAAAATTACATCATTTATTTATACTACCATATAAAGAATAATCCAGTGTATTAGTTGGCACTAACATATCCAGATTAATATTTGTATAGAAATATATGTATGACATTACTTGGTGAAAAGAGCAGATTGGACTGTCTCTTCCAGCAAACATGCCTATATATCTATAACTTGTTTATAGTTAGCTAGACATCAATTATATCTAGTGACAAGAAGGCCCTAGCACATATAATATAAATTAAAAAGCAATGGAGTAGAGTTTCAAAGACTGAGAGCTAGTAACTTGTGGGGGTAGGGCTGTCTTCTCTTTCCACAAATGTCCATATGTCTCAAATCTCTCTGGGTGCTCTCACCTCTAAAATGGAGACAGAAATGGGCACCAGACATCACACACACACACACACACACACACACACACACACACAGGTCCCTTAGGGGAACCTCAGCTCTCTTCCCCGTCTTTGCAGACATTAGTTCTGTTCTGTTTTAGTGGTTTTCTTCTGGGCTCAGTGGTGATGTAGCAGTTGTCTCAATACTATTCTAAGCCTTTACCTCCAAACAGTTTCTTTATACTTGAACCTCCTCTGCTGCTTTTGGACAAGGTGATGGAAGGTCTTTCAGTCAGAAGATTATCTTTTATATTCACATATTATATTCATTGTACATAGTAATGAGCCTTATAAGGACTTTTTTTCTTCAAATATAAACTTTGAGTGTATGCCCACCATATTGCACCTCCCCCTGCTTGAGTTTCCTTCTCATGGGGTATATACATGCGTGGTTTGTGCCTGTATATACCATCTAGTAGCCACAAATGAAAGCATGCAGTATTTGTCTTTTTGAGGCTATCATGATTCACTCTGTGTGATAATCTCTTGATATATCCGTTTTCTTCCAAACAACACCTTTGCTTCAGCCAGACGATTTTTCTGAGCAAAGAGCATTGACGTGGCAAAAGTGGCAGGGAATTCTTTTTTAAAAAAAGATTAAACCCAAACCTTTTTTTTATATAATGACATCATTTTTTAAGAACCATAAGAAGATGAAAATGAACAAATGAACTGTCTAGATGTCCTCAATAATTTATATACAATTGGTTTAAAACAATTACTAAGGTATTTATTTTTTTGCAATATGTTTGCAATTAAATAACATATCACACTTTCAATAATATTTTTGTTGGAGATTCTTGATCTGCATTTAACTGTATACAGTTTTAGAAAGTAGCTATAGAAGACGGGATCATGAATTAGACAGCAAGTGGGAGGAAAGACACAAGCAGCTGGAGAGAAGAAGAGGGAAAACTGGAAAGGTATAAATATAATATTCATGAAATTCTCAGAAAACTAAAAACAATAAAATTAAAAACTGCACATTTTCACATCCATATTTGTAACATTCCTTGTACCTGAACTCATTGTTAGTCTTTAAATTATCCAGGATTCAATAAGATTAAAACTTGAGATGATGCTTCTGTAGCCACATGTTAGACATCTAGCCTAATAGGCTGCTATCCTATTAGGCAATACAAAACAGTCCCCAACAAGTTATATGGTTCATTTTCAGCCTTTAGGATGATTTTTTCTACTTAGAATAGCAGGATATCAAAAATAAATATCTTCAGAATTACAACCCCAAATCACATGATGAAGTGCTAAATAATTTGCCACAGACAAGTTTTAGTGCTACTTGAGTAGGAAGTTCTTGAAACACCCACAGCTGGATACTTTCTGCACCACTTTGGCAGTGACACATAGAGCTGGTGAGAATGGAGAATCTTACTTTAGAAACTGTGTCTGTTCTGCTGCAGGCATGGGACCCGCTGTGCCGGAGAAGTGGCAGCCACTGCAAACAACTCTCACTGCACCGTTGGAATCGCTTTCAACGCCAAGATTGGAGGTATGGGAAACTTCCAGGGATATACACGGGAGCCAGGAAGCTCTTAGCCAACTGCTTTTCAGAATCCTTTTCAAACTAGTGCTTCTGTGCATGACAGAGCGCAACTACAGTTGACAGCACAATACTCATGTGAAAGATGATTTTCAGTTCGATGATGGACACTTACCACAAGATCCATCACAAATAGTTTTTCTAAAGAGACTTGCAGGAGATGTGGGTGGATGTTGTTGAGTAGTGATCATAGAAATGTGTTCTGTTGATGTCTGTACTAACTCAGAATTGGCACCTGGGTCATGAAGAACGCGCAATGGAAACATCAACCCACACTGTCTTTTTTGGGGTATATAGTGTCTATGCTTTTAAAGGTGACTTTTAACTGTAAACTAAAATGCTAAAGGGTAAAATCTCTTCTTATAATCCAAGAATATTGTGATAATGTTACCATAAGTCATATTTATGCAAGGGTATATATGTATGTGCGTGCAGATACATACATACATACATACATATATACATACATACATATATGCATACATACATACAAAGACAGATACATAGATAGATATGCATATATTTATGCATATATGTATATAAGGTCACATATAGTCAAATTTGGGCTCATATATGTTTATTATAAAGATTTAGCCAATGCAGTATGAATCAGTGTTGAAAAGTGAACTCCCACTTTCCTCCTGGTGATCATTGTAGTAAGAAACAAATGATTGCCATTGCCACACACAAGGGAAAGACAGCATTCGATTAAACCCTAGTAACTTCATTATTAGGCCTGAAGGTGAGTCCCTCAGTAGGCTGAAGGATATCATAAGATGACTGCAAATTTCTACAGGCATGTGAGTACCTTGTTCCAATGCCCTATTTGCTACTAAATAGTTTGTCTAAAGTTAAAAAGTAGCATTCCTAACCAGGATAAGAGCATGAAAGATTAAGAGTACAATAGTCTCCCTTCATCCAGACTCCCAGTGACTGTTTCAAGCAGACAGTTCCCAGCCCTCGCTGTATAGCCTGTGGTCATTTATCTTCCAGATTGAACATAGCAAGAGGCTAATAACAACCAATAAATGGAATAGTTATGATAAAATATTGTAAGAAAAGTCATGTGAAGCATGAATTGTTTATTTCTAGAATTTACCAAGCCATACATTTGGACCCCACTTGACCATGGGTAACCGTTGTCACCAAAATCAAAGCTAAACATGGAGAAACCACAATATAGCTGTGCTTAAAGCAGGTTTCTGAGATTCCCTTGATTGCTAGAGACATGAGAATATGTCTAAGTGACCTATTTTATTTATTTCCCCTTAATTCTGGAGTTGACAGTTTGATGCTCAATAAATAGCTACATTCAGGAGCATCTACTCTAAGAGGGTCATAGGCTCATCCTGATAAGAGTGCTGGAGCCCCCTGCTTACCCAGGAGAATCAGATCCGAGGCTACTTTGGTACCACAACAGTCAACTCTCACAGGAGGACTTACATCCTCTGTTGCTGTGACGACATTCCATTCCAGATCCAGCACTCTGACTGAACCTGAGGGAAGAGGTGAATGAACTCTGAACTCCCTCACAGCTGCTGACCATGCTTAACTGTACTTTATCTAAAAGATGAAAGTATAGAGATGACTCAAGAAATAAGAACATTCTGAACTAGAATTTGACTCCTCAGATGTAAGGCATATAGTTTGTAATAGAGTTAGAGAAGAGACGTAAAATGAGGGTGACACTCTCAAAAGATAAGGGAAAAGTGGAATGGGGGAGGACTTACTTAAGGGCCATGGGGAGGAGAGCAACATCTGATGTTGGGTTGTAAAGTAAACAAATAAATAAATTTAAAAAATAAAGTAAGATAATACAAGTCTCAGTGATGATATTTTACGAAAGCAAGTTTTTTCTTCTACTAAATGATTAGAAGTTATATCACTGTTGTAAATTGCCAAAATACAAAATAAAAAGGAAAAGTTACCATTGGACACATAATTTATTTCTCAGTATATTAGTGACTTTTTTAGAAACATAGGGTTAATGCTAGATTTCTGTCTGGTAGGAATGTACTTAACTGAAGATTAATGACTAAATATTGTTAAAAATTTTTGAGAGTTATTTGCAATGTTAAATGGATTCTCATCCATTATTTGGCTTGTAAATAACTTGGCAACAAAGAAATACAGTAAGTTTACATGGGTCTAAGATTATGGGGTATATAGGACACGAGGCCAAGCTAACGTGGCAACTGCAACTTTTAAAAAACTACTAAGGTTAGAAGATTTCCACAACTATGAGCCCAAGTTATTCAATGGAGAGAAATTTAGGATGATGAATTTCTTGAGTATCTTTGCCAAAGCAAAATTTGTAACATTGAGGGAAAATTAGAGACCTAAAAATTTTTTTCAAGCACAATTTTAATCTTTTGGGCTGGAGAGATGGCTCAGCCTTTAACAGCACTGACAGCTCTTACAAAGGTCCTGAGTTCAATTGCCAGCAACCACATGGTGGCTCACATGGTGTCCTCTTCTGGTGTGCCTGAAGACAGCTACAATGTACTCACATAAATAAAATAAATAAATCTTTTAAAAAAATTAATCTTTTGTACATAGTGAAGCCTCCTTTCTCCCCTTATCCCCATGACAGCTTCTACAAAGTGTTTGGTACTTTTATGCCAGGAAAATGCTCAATGAAGTGTTGGTTACAATTTATTGGGATGAGGGAGATGGTTAAGGGTGCCTACTGTTTGCAGCACCCACATGGTAGTTCACAACTTCTTATAACTCTAGTTCCAGGAGACACAGTGCCCTCTTCTGGCCTCCGAGGATTCTAAAACACATTATACATAAACTCAGCCAGACATATCCATACATATTATTAATGAATGAACAAATATTTTTAAAACTCTTTTGTATATTATTTCTTCCCCTAAATTGTCTAAGTGGGCTGTGTCAGCATCATCTCCTGGAGATAAGTAACAGGCTTGCTCCTTTCTGCTTTGAAGGTGTGAGAATGCTGGATGGTGATGTCACCGACATGGTGGAAGCAAAGTCTGTCAGCTACAACCCACAGCATGTGCACATCTACAGTGCCAGCTGGGGCCCAGATGATGATGGGAAGACTGTGGATGGGCCAGCTCCCCTCACCCGGCAAGCCTTTGAGAATGGTGTGAGAATGGTAGGTGTTCAAAGCATCTGGGGTGAAGAATTTCATATGCAGAGCTTATAGGCCGAGCATCCTCCAGACTAGAGGATTTCTGAAGCTTGTGGGCTGGCTGGCCACTGGAGAGACGTCTTGAACATTGGCATCATAGGTTGTTTCTGTTCTACAAATGAACTCAGAGTTAGTATTTCTTCTGCCATGAACAGTTTAGTTGGGTGTTTAGAGCCACACAGAGGACATACAGTAATTAATATGTGCAAGTGGCACTTTAAGAAGCAAATTCTGGGGGTAGGGTTGTTGAATGGGTATTTCCAGTTTCCCTTTGGTATTGGCGGATCACCCAGCACAGTTCTTCTGTCATCTCCCCACTGTGACACTTAGTTAACTTCTGTCCAGAAGTAATATTGCCTTTCAGTCACTCCCTGATCTCTCTAATCAGGCAACTTACCATTTTAATTTGATGTCACTGAAAGAGTCACTGTCCACTGTCCCCAGAAAACCTAGCTCAGTAAACTATTGTAATATAATGTTAGTTTCAAATTACAGATTTTCAATTGTCTTAAATTAAGTAGAAGCAAAGATGCTAGAACTTGTAGAAAGAAGGGTGCTTCACCAGAAGCAGTGTCTTTCATTCTACTAATAAATAGAACTTTGAGTTTTGTGAAGGATATATACTCTCTGAATGTCATCATTGATCTGGTCCTAACATCCTTTGCCTTTCCCATCATTCTCTGCATTGTCATGCATGCATCCTCCACTCCTGGTAATTATCCATCAGCACATGCTGTTTTGTCTGGCCCTCCCCGAAGTGCTTCAGTCCTCTACCGAAAAGCCCCCTCTTCGCAGAAGCCTTTCCAAGCCCTAGCTGGAATGGATTATCATTAGTCTCTGACTCTGAGCTCAATGCCATTGATAGTCTTCCTGATGCTAAGTAAAAGCCAAATCATATTTGTGCTTTGTATCAGAGTTCGTTCTGGGTTTATCTTTGTCACAAAAGTGTAAGTCCCAGAACAGCAGAGCATGTGCTTTATACATATTTATGGATTTTACAAAACTAAGAGAATGTATTGAATTCTAGTGAGCATTCTGGAAATGTTTGTTGCATCAAATTTAGTGAACTACAAATGATATGAACCACAATGCTTTCATAGATTCAGCCCAGATTTTGAACAGTGGGATGCATTCAGTTGATTAGCATGTTTGAGCAAGAATAAAAATTATAGTGAGTTTTGCATATGTTGGTGAGCCTGGGCTAGATTTTTAGCAAAAGCCTGAGCTAAACCATCCTATGACTATTCTGAAATGGGTGTGAGGAAGAAAACACTTGTTTTATAAGCACTTTCTAGCAAAGAAAAAAGTTTATGTTTTATGAAGACATTTTCATTTCTAGTTTTGTCCACATTCAGCTGCTTTTGTATACTTTTAGCAGATAGATAATATTGTAACCAACTAGACTTTCCTTTCAAAGTGCTTAATACCAAATGAATATACCATCTGCTGATTCATTGCCAAAGCTGTGGACTACAAATTACTGTTGGTGGCCAGTATGCCATCAGTAAAATGGCCTTCTAAGTTTGGTTCAAATGTTCCAATTATGAGTGCATTGAACTCATGAAAAAAGAGCAACCTGGAATTTCTCAGTGTTAAAATCATTTTATTAGTAATGCACATGCCTTGCGGTTATGCATATACAGATAAAGAATGCCCAAGCCTAATAAGTAGTTTTGCAAACTGACTAACAGGCATGTGGATAAATAATAAGGTGCCAAAAAAAGTTTTAAAATGTATTTTTATTAGAGTCTGTAGCTCAATAGAAATTAACTGAAATCTTAACGCATAAAACTGATAAAACTGTGACACTTTGATTATAAAAAATGTTTCCTTTTTAAAGTTAGGCTTAGAAACAGATCGTGTGAAGAACCGTTCAGATACATAGAGCTATTTAGAAATGAATGATGTGAAAAAATTAAGCCCATTTCAGTTGCAAACAAATGACCTTTTTATTGTGGTAAGTGGTATGCAAAAAGTATATTAGGAAGCAGTCAATAAGGTTCTTCCCCACCCAAGTAGTCAGTCATTGACGACTGAGTGCAGATACATCTTTCTATACTCTTAACTACATTAACCTGCCAACTGGGAATCATGTTGAATCTCTGCATGGATCCCACGGGCACTCTTCTAGTGCAGCCCATGGAAATAGGGCTCATTGGTTTTATTTGTTTCAAAAATTTTGGAGTTTTGCAGTACCATCGTTTAGGGGCTGGGATAAGGCTCTGCAGTCAAGCATGTACATGAGGCCTTAGCTTCAACACCCAGCACCCAAACGCAGACAAGTAAGGATAGAATGATTTATCCTGCATTCCTTTAAAGATCTTCCTGGGATTTAATCTGAACAAAAAGGACTTTGGTTTTAAGATGAACCATTAACTTTTAGAGTTGAAATAGTAGCAAAAGTAGTAACTCTTAAAAGGGAAGATTTATCTTCTGGTCTGTCTCCCATCTCAATATAAAATGACGGCAATAAACCATTGAAATGAGGCAAAATTGATTGGACAATGTTTTCATGTAGTTAGTAGAGTGAAACTTTCAAGTTAAGCTAAAGTACAGTCTAGTATTCCTCATTTACTTCTGACTTAAACTAAATCAAATAGCTTGCTTCCATTTCTTCTTCTAAAGTGGTGTGAGGATATACTACTCACTCCCAGAGAATTTATGACAAAATAATCAACATAAAGTTATTAACACACTGGCTGAATATAGTAAGTACTCAATAAAACTTCTTAGCGAAAGATATCCACTTCAAAAGTACTGTTCATTTTTGTCCTTAGTCCCACATGCTTCACAACTAAATCATGTCCACCTTGCAGAATTCTAGATGACTCCATCCAGGCTACTTTTAGAGGTAGATTAGAAATAGAGTGCCACAGATTGGTACAGATTCTCTGAGCTTTGTTACTAAGGTCATTTGCCTGTTTCTCCTCTGTCTATTTACATCATCAACTCCTCTTGCGCTAATAAAGTAAGTGTCTCCAATTTAAAGCATCTGCAATTTCATTGTGATTCTGTGTGGGTGGGTGTGTATGTGTGTGTATTCACATGTGTGTGAGTGTGTGAGTGAGAGTGTATGTGTATGACTGTATGTGTGTGAAAGGTGTGTGTAAATATATATGTCTGAGTAAGTGTGTGTGTGTGTGTGTGTGTGTGTGTGTGTCCAATCTCAAATTGCTTATTTTCCCAAAGGATATTTCTCTAGATAGCTGTGAGTATACCATTCAACATTTCAAGTTGATATTGGGTAGATTTTATCAGAAAAATGAAAAGCTTGACTACTTTCTTGTGTTGAAGCATCATGTGAAACATAATTCATCGTATTTGAGGTCTTGATAGAAAGATTAAGTGAGCTATTGGTGATTAGAGGACCTAAGGAACAAAGGCAGGTAAAGAGATGCCATCAGCTAACCAATGGAAAGCTTTCACCATGACCTTAAGGCCCATTGATGTCTTACCTACATTTTCTACTTCCTGCAGGGACAGAATGAATACTACATACACTATATCACCTAGACAAAACACAAGCAGAGACTCTACAAGAATGATTCAACCGAGATTCATGTAGTGAGTGAAATATAGTTGGCAGTTGGAAGGGGCAACACTACTTTCTATGGGAAGGGTAGAGAGTTCCCTTTGAGGAGGCAGTAGCTGCAGACAAAGAAGATAAGCCTAAGTTGATAATGTGAAGACCTGGAAGAAGAATGTTCTATGCAGAAGGAACAGAAGGGAAAACCCCTGCATAGCAAAGGATTTTTGCAGATAGCAAAAGGTTTGGCTGAATAGCAAGAGGTTTGCTGTGTATTTCTAGGACAGAAGATTTCCTCGGGCCATAGATACAGTAAGAGCAGAAAGTGATAGAAAGGTGGCATTGTCTAAGGCCAGCTCAACAGGCTTGAATTCCACACTCTTACAGAAAGTCACTGGAGGTTGAACTAGGGCAGGTGCCCTGTAAACATGCCATCTGTTGGGATGAATTGTGGGGGACAAGAGTGGAAGATTACAGTGGTCCGGGACAACATGAAGACCATGGAAGCACTGTCCGGACCTCTAGAAATATCAGGCAGCTGAAGAGAGAAGGGCATGTATGGAGAAATCTATTCACAGAGGAAATAAATACTTTTTGCTCGGGGCTTCCAAGTATTGATCATGTCCGGTTTTGCTGCTTACTAATCAGAAATGTACCAAGTATTGAATTTCAAAATGTTCCCCATTTATTTACTGTAAGACAAACATTTGAATCGGTGGGATGTAGCAGTGGTTTCAAATACTTCAACAAAATCAGAATTGATTCAATTTATTATAGCCCCTTTAGAATTAATGTGCCAAAATTGTATCAGAGAAACTGTGTTAAACAAACCTTATCATAGCTGACAACTTCCTCTCTCTCTCTCTCTCTCTCTCTCTCTCTCTCTCTCTCTCTCTCTCTCAACTGCATATTATTTGATGTCAAAGAGCTGTAAGATTGGCGTAACTTTTAGAGTCACATAATTTGGACTATATTTAGTGAATGGGAATGATAGGATGAAGGGGAGGATGATGATGGAGATGATGACAATGATAACATGAAATTGTAATGTTTTGGCCCATCTTTTCACTGCTGTCACTCATCTGAGCCCCTAAATGGGCTATTAACTTTTAATCTGGACAGTAATCTTGTGAGACAAGCACTCTCTCCCCCAGCCTTACATTAGAGAAGACAAAGCTATCAAAGTCAGAACACGGCCCTCAGTGGTTGCTTTAGTAAGTTCTGCTACTTGTTCCTTTTCTGTCATCACTGACATATCTGACTCTTCCTTAATCTCATTTTCCTGTTTCACCTCTGTTGGCACATTGAGGCCGTTGATTCTCATATCTTAGAAAGAATATGTAGGGCTGGGGTGATTATTCCAGTAGTTAAGAGCACTGGCTGCTCTTCCTAAGGTCCCAGGTTCAAATTCCTAGAATCCACATGGCATTACAACCAA